TTGGAAGAATGGTCAAAAATTCCTATAAACACACTCCTCAACCTTGTGGACAGCCTTCCCAGAAGAGTTGAAGCTGTAATAGCTGCAAAAGGTGGACCAACATCATATTGAACCCTATGGGTTAGGAATGGGATGGCACTTAAGTTCATATGTGAGTCAAGGCAGGTGACCGAATACTTTTGGTAATATAGTGTATGTGTCAGATAATGAGCAATCAGTGGGAAAGGCGGTACAGATCTGCTTTTTGTGAGTTATACACGGCAGTTTGCATCCTTCAATACTGCACTTGGATGTAAAGTAGTGCATTACCAAAAAGTCCCTTGTGTCCATTTTCTAAGAAAGGTATATTAATAAATTGTTGAATGCTACAAGGACCGGATGGGATTAGCCTTCTCTGATCCAGAGCAGAGGATCCATTTAATCAGAGGAAACTGTTGAAAATTTGTGTCCATAGGCCTGAACTGTTTTGACTGTAAAAAAAAAAAAAAAAACATATCAGCTGAGACTTTTAATCTGAGGATCCATGGTTTAAGTCCCTGTTTGTGGGTGGAATAGATGTGATTGTTCGTCATTTGGTCTCCTTGTGCAGAAAAGCCAAGCTTGGTTGAAAATGCTGATGCTTTTCAAATGATTCCCATACCATGACAAGCAAGGCATTACTTGAAGCAAGATTTTAGAGTCAAGACTTTAGAGCTACTGTTATGAAGAAGACTTATGCTGGTAACATTGGTCAAAAGTCTTCTTGTTCTAAAAGAATATACAAACACGGTAGTTAAACAGAAAATTTTGTGGTTCAATTTAGAGACTGGACAGCTTATTAGATAGGACCAAGGTTCAACCTTCTCTTGGTTAACTTTAACCAGTTTGCAAGTTACTTGAGTACTTTTTGTCTTTATATGTGTAAGACTCTGGGCAGTCAGTGGAGGTATAAAGCTGCTTTCTTGTGAGTTACAGAGCCAAGATTACACCTTGTTGGTTTGTATCCTTGAATAGTGCTGTTGAACATAAAATAGGGGACAAACACCCTGGTGTTCATGTTGTAAGAAAGCTATATTAATAAATTGTAGAAAGCCACAAGATCCAGATGGGATTAGCCCTCTCTGATCCAGTGCAGAGGACAAATTTTATTGGAACTGTTGAACGTGCGTGGCCACAGGCTCAATCTGTTTTGAGGCTAGAAGAACACAAGTGGAAGGGCCCGGATAGCTCAGTTGGTAGAGCATCAGACTTTTAATCTGAGGGTCCAGGGTTCAAGTCCCTGTTTGGGTGTCATACTTACTGTGTTTGCTTTCATGGCTGGAAAAGCCAAATCTTGGTAGAAAAACTGCTCAAGGCTTCCAAAGGCTGTGAGGATTAGCCTTCTCTTATCCAGAGGACAAACTTCGGAACTGCTAACTCCTTCCAAATGATACTTGTACTGTGCCAATCTAGACTTCAGGGCCTGTATACACAAAGCTTCCTAATGGCAAAATTCTTAGGATTATGACTTTTTCTTAGAATTTCCCCTTAAATTTAGGACTAAATCTTAGTAAAGATAAAAATGATTCATGAAACATCTTAGCCCTA